TAGTATAGCAATTAGGGAAATGTTGTGTGTTCAAGCGTATTTATTTGTTTGAAATTTTGCAATTACTCACTATCCATGCTATGATAGGGGTCTCTACCATAGCTATATTAAAGCGGTTTAGTTTATGTTTTTATAAGAAATATTTATGCTATGAGATATTATCTTATAGCGTTTATCTATAAGATAAAAAATTAAATGACTCTAACATAGCATTTTTTAAATCTTACATTTTGAAAACCAATAGATTTCGTAGCAGGTTTTTAAATGCCATTATATGTGTTTTTCGTGACACTTATTTCTTTTTTTTATGACACTAATTTCTTTTTTTTATGACACCTGTTTTATAAAATCCCCAAAACATCATTAATAACTTCAAATCCAAAATATAATTCACAAAACATGTTTCACATAACAAGCTAACAAGTTTTCCAAAGATCCTATCAATGATCTCCTTAAGATCCAAAACCAACCAACTAAAAGTCTGAAAACAAGTTTTCCAAAGAAGTTTCACAAACCAAACCTCAGGCCATGATCACTTTGTCCTCAGGCCATGCAATAACTGTCCCAAGGGCATCTTCCATAATCTCTATTTCATCTGATTTCCTCCAAACTTCTGCATCGCTAACTTTGACAATATCTACCCACACTTTAATAGCATTAGAACCCAAAGGAACAAAGTGAACCTTCTGGTTTGGATCATTTGTTGCCCATCGTCCTTCAGCAACTACTCGATTCTTTCCGGTAATGTCCATCAACATGCATCTCTTATTGTCCTTTGAACCATTTTGCATGATACGCTGCCATGTTTACAACATAAAACAAAAGTCAGATGATTTTACAGAGGTAATCAGACCAAAATAAAATAGATTTACCTGTGATTTCCGGATAGGAGACTGTGTATCTGGTATAGTTTTCTTTACTGGAGAGCTTGGGCGTATTGCAGTCTCAATAGGAGATTCAGACCCTGATCCTGAAGATTTAGAGGCATTTGAAGCTGGTTTATCACTTGTCTCCGCAGATTTTGTCCCAACTGCAGATTTAGATCCTGAAGGTATATCAGTTGATGCAGAATGCTGTCTAGGAGATTGATTCTCAAAGCTAACTTTATTGACAGGCCATGAAACAAAAGCCATCAAACAGTCCTCAAGGTATGTCATCTCAATTGTAGGCCTCCATATGAATGTTTCTGGTTGAAGCACTGAATCCACAAATACTTTTACTGCCTTTGGTCCAAGAGGTAGTCCATTAACCAATGCAGTTTCTTCTTGTGTCTGCCAACGACCCTCAGCAACAATGACATCATCATTAGACAAATCCAGCAGTTTACATTTATTCAGAGAGTTTGCTCTTAGGCCCTGTCAAAATTTACAAAACTACTCATCAAATACCAACTCATAAACAGCCTCAGTAATATAGTGCATCAATATAAAGTTTACCAAAGGCGCAATGTCTTCTATTTGGAGCTCTTTGTCCAAAAGAACACACTTAGAGGCTGGCCATGCAATAATCTGTCCAACAGCTTCCTGAATAGTAAACATCTTAGTTGCTGGTCTCCAGAGGAATGCATCTGCTTTAGTAGCAGTTTCAACCAACACTTTAAGATCTGTAGGGCCTAGACGACAGTCATTCACTAAGTCATCAGGATCAGAAGATAGAATACGCCCTTCACCAATGTTTTCATCACTACCAGACCAATCAACCAATACACACTTAGGGTGTGACCTTTTGTTTACACTCTACAAAATGGTGAACCAAAAAAATTAAGTCAGAAATTACACTAGCAAGAAAGATTCATGGATCTGAAATAAAATACTTACTCTGGCAGCTGAGTTTTCACCTATTTCTGCTTCTTGTCTCTATAACATAAAAGAATAATGTCAGTTCTCATATATATATATATATATATATAATCTTAGCTGCTTGGATCAATAATTGTGTAAGTAGCTAACCTGATTCTTCATTTTGCTAAGTTCCTCTTGCAACTCATTCACCTTCTTAAGTAACTGAACCTGCTTCTCTTCCATATCAGTCATACACTTGGTCTTCACCTGGAAACAAGCTAATTTGGTCTTACTCATGCCTCTACCCATCGCCCGCAGCCTACCAGGTTTGTCAGGTCCTAAAAGTTGACAGAGGTGATCTTCTTCTGGATTTGTTTTGGTTGTTGGAGCATCACTTCCAACAAGCGTAGCTTCTTTCATCTGCAAATCAATGACACTTGTTACTAAAGGAAAACAAAATCATGTTAAAACAATTTGGGACATACAATTTTTTCAGCTGCATTGGTATTCACTGGCGTGCCATCCTTTTTGGTACGCGACTTGACCCACACCTTCAGCCTAGTCACCTCAGATGGATCTCCACTTTCAATTTTCTGTTTAAAAGCAACACAATAATGAATCTATATAAGACTAAACAAGAGAAACATCAAAGATGATAAGATCATTACCATGTCCTCAGCAAGTCGGACCATTCCTTTGCGGCTAGTAGTATGAGGTATCTGTTTTCTCCTCCTCTCTTTATATTCATCACTCACAGCCTAACAATCAAAATTATTATGCTATCACCATTGAAATACCAAACTTAAATGAGGATAAACACAATACCTTAAAGGCTGTGCTTGTTTTGACTTTGACAAATTTTCTCCAATCTGTTGGAGAAACATTCATTGGTCTCATATTCATCCTCTGTTGGTTATTAGCAGCCTCATTTATATCCTTGACAATGCGTGACTTGTATGATCTCCACAAATTTCCCATCTGACTTAGCACAGCAACCCTTTGAAACTCCTCATCAAGTTCAAACCTTGCCTGCAAAAAACTTACCATCAAAACTGATTCAATCTAATAGTACACTACACTGTGATTAATGGAAATGTTACCTGAACAGATTTCCACAAAACTGTTTTGATATCTTGACCAACATGCTTCCAGTTTTCAATTGTAACAGGAACATGTTCTCTAACCAGTGTTCCAACGTATGATGACAGCTTCACTGACCCTGGACCATAAGGATCTCCCATGAGATTGTAGTCAACTTTTTCTCTAACAGTTGGATCCTTGGCAATGTTTTTCATCTTGGTTGGTCCCCTATGTTTCTTACGCTTAGGTTGCTGGTCTTCAGATAACTCAATCTCACCTACAGGCTCATCATGTTCTCCATCTTTATCAGTGATTTCGGCTGGTACCCTCCCTTCAGTCTGAGATACTTCAACAGGCTGCTCCAAATGCTTACTGGTTTGTGGTTCCTCTACAGTCTGCTCCACTTGCTTACTGGTATGTTGGTCTTCTTCATGAATCTCAGGCTCAACAGTACCATTATACTCTGGCTCATCCTCCTTTGCTGTATCCTTCTTCTTTCTTGATTGTTTCCCTCCCTTCTTCTTTGGTCTGCCCATTTAATTAAGTCTCCTACATGACAAAAACAAATAAGTAAAACATGTCAATCTTAACTTAGACAAAAGACAGCACATAGTATGAGATAACACACATCACATAAACACACATCGAAACCAGAACCAAGATATAAAAAAAAACTACATTTGGCACATATATTCCTTCACAATCAGTTCTAGCAGTTTCTGCATCATCTAAGTCAATATCCATGTCAACAGCTGCTGGCAATGGACCAATATCTACATTTCCATCCTGAACATCTTCTTTGCTATATCTTCTTGTGGAACCTCTCATAACAACATACCAACTGGAGGAATCATCTTCCCTTGAATAAAAGACTTGTTTTGCCTGAGATGCTAGTATGTAAGGATCCCGCAAAAAACTGACTTGACTCTGATTCAAGTTAACAAGTGTGAACCCATCTTCCACCTTAACTCCATTACCTCTCACTGCCCATTGACACCGGAACAGAGGAACATAGAAGACATTATAGTCTAGCAAGATGATGTCAATGATTCTGCCGTAGTAAGATACCAAATCAACCACCTGTGATGTATCTTTAGCACTAGATCTACACATAGCTGTAGCCTCATAATAGACTCCACTATTCTGACTTTGCCTTTCAAGTGAGCTTGTGTGAAAACGTTGTCCATTCACTATATAACCAGTATATGACCTTGCACTACACCGTGGACCATATGCCAGCCATTTAATTGTATCTTCATGTCCAGATGAAGAAATGGGTATCTAGCAGCAAGATGCATATATTAGAGTCAGTCACTTATATTTATATGAATCAGTTTAAATATATACAAATTACAGAGAAATAGCTTGCCTTTTCTTTTAACCATGATGCATAGTTCTTAGCATGCATAGACCATAACATTGATGCATCACGTCTACACCTTGGATTAGTGTCTTGTAGATGTTCCAAGTGCATGCTTGCAGAAGAGGATTAAAAGAACATAAGTTACCAGATTGCTATATTGACAATGTTATTGACACAATTAATAGTAAATATAAACAGAACTTACTCAACAAAAGTATCCAAGACAACC